GGTCCCTACCATTTTGGTCCTTTATCATGCCCATCTTTGCATGAAACATTCCCTTCATATCTCCAGTTTTCTTGAAGAGATATCTGGTCCTCCCTATTCTATTGTTTTCTTCTATTTCATCCCATTGTTCATTTAAGAAGGCATTCTTATCTCTTCTAGCTATTCTCTGGAATTCTGCATTCACTTGGGTGTATCTTCCTCTTTCTCCCTTGCCTTTCGCTTCCCTTCTTTCCTCAGCTATTTGTAAAGCTTCCTCAGACAGCCATTTTGCTTTCTTGCATTTCTTTTTCTTTGGGATGGTTTTAGTTGCTACCTCTTGTACAATGTTGCGAACCTCCATCCATAGTTCTTCAGGCACTCTGTCTATCAGATCTAATTCCTTAAATCTATTTGTCACCTCTACTCTATATTCACCAGGGATATGATTTAGGTCATACCTGAGTGGCCTAGTGCTTTCCCCTACTTTCTTCCATTTAAGCCTAAATTTTGCAACAAGAAGCTCATGATCTGAGCTACAGTCAGCTCCTGGTCTAGTTTTTACTGACTGTATAGAGCTTCTCCATCTTTGGCTGTACAGCACGTAGTCAATCTGATTTCTTTGTTGACCATCTGGTGATGTCCATGTGTAGAGTCATCTTCTGGGTTGTTGGAAAAGAGTGTTTGCTATGACCATCGTATTCTCATAACAAAATTCTACCAGCCTGTGCCCTGCTTCATTTTGTACTCCAAGGTCAAACTTGCCTGTTATTCTGGTTATCTTTTGGCTTCCAACTTTAGCATTCCAATCCCCCATGATGATAAGGACATCATTTTGGGGTGTTAATTCTAGAAGGTGTTGTAGGCCTTCGTAGAACTGGTCAACTTCAGCCTCTTCAGCACCAGTGGTTGGGGCATAGACTTGGACTACTGTGATGTTGAATGGTTCAGCCCCGCATTACAAAGCCATGGCAGCTGTTGATTCAGACTTCTTTTATTTTAGCTGGCCAGGAGGTTAAATGAAAGGTAACTATAGTACATATTTCCCCAGTTTTCAATCTGGAACTGCAGGAGGCATGAGATCTCAACATTTACAAGTCAGAAATTTAATGATATTGTTTAAAAATTATTCTTTTAAAAAGAGGTCCTCTTTTCTTTCCCCTGGTCCCTGTTACAGAATCTACCAGAGCCAAAAGAACCCCACAGGACACACATACGGCCTTTAGTGCACAGCCTCTGCAATTGTGACCCTCAACATTTAATAAGCTAAACTGGACTTGCAGCTCACTCTTAGCCATGTTTCTTCAGAAGCAAGCCCCATTGATTTTGTGAAGACCTACTTTCAGCGTAAATTTCCCTGCTTCAAGATTTGAATTCTGTAAGTAAGTTGTACCGAACATGGCATGCAGTACTTCCAAGATGACATGTGTAGGATTGCACAGGAAGGCGACTGGGGAAGACTGTTAGGATGGCCGGCCACAGTGATTTGCATACAACATGCATATGTTACTCTAAATGTCGATGCACATTTTGGAAATGACTCTTATATGTGAAATCAAAAAGCAATGCATTTTATCTCCATGGGGAAGACTGTGGTCAGATGAACCATGTGCCTTGCTCAGCACCCTGACTAGATGCCAAGGATGGGCAGCATGCAGGCCCAGCTCTGCCTTCTGGTGGTTCTTCACCATTACGGTGAGCTTGGGACTAAACAGTCCTTCAAAAAGAGGGCTACCAAAGAGGGTCCATGGCCACCCTACAGACTCCCTGGGCCCTTTCTGTGTAAAGATGAAGCCAGACAGCTCAAGTCTCTGAGATAGGCTTGACCTTCCAGTCCTTTTGCTGAAGCTTTCTGCAGAATGGGAACACCTGCACATTCCCCCACAGATAGAAGCCACCTTTACCTGCCACACATTTCCTGGGATCCACCACTGCCCTGTCTGTCATGTTGCTCTCACCAGAGCGATGGCCATCAGTGTGAGGCATCGCGATCAGCAGCCGAGGCAGCACCCTTTTTCCCCGACAGATGACAAATGCACTGCATGTAGCAACAGGGGCTTTGTGATCTTCATGGACAGGGCTCTGGGCAGGGGTCGGCCCCACCACCCCCTGCCAATTATGACTGGCGAGGAAAGCATCCTCTGGCATCCAGGCGGCCGGCTGGAGCATGTGTGCCTGAAGGCTTTGATGATGGTTGGGGGTGGGGGAGAGGATGCAGGGGGGAAGAGGAGACGAAGGCAATCTGGAACCCATAAGCTCCCTTGATGTTTGTGTTATCGTCCACAGTTGCATTGGTCTGTGGGCAGCCCCTCCCCTAGACTTCCTCACCCTATCCGTAGAGGGCATTAGCAAACTTCTAACAGTGTCCCTCCTCTCTTTTAGCCCTAGAGCAGGGAGGGGAAGGAGGGGAAATAAGCCGATCTTGGAAAGCTGGAGCAGCTCAGAAAGCCTCTGGAGCCCCTGAAGCTGTCGGCTCCTGGAGCCCCATCCCTGGGCTTTCTCGGCCGGAACGTCAGGTGGACTTGGTCTGGGCTCCCTGTGGCCCGTCCTTTCCAAAAGCCCATCCTACGTGTGGACAGGGAAGGGAAAGGCAAGCAAAAGTGGAGACCATGAAAGAAGAAGGCACATGCCCCGACTCCCCAGAAGGCAGCCTGGTGACCAGCGAGGAGGAGAGTGAGAAGCTGCCGAAGAAAGGCCTTCGCAAGAGAAGCCAGCTGGGCATGCCTGTGACCTCTGCCTCCCCAGAGTGCAGCACCCCCTCGCCCCAGGGGAAGCGCAGCAAGCGGAGCCCGGTGCCGCAGACCTTCGAGGACATGCACACACAAAGGGTGATCGCCAATGTGCGGGAGCGCCAGCGCACCCAGTCGCTGAACGATGCCTTCGCGGAGCTGCGCAAGATCATCCCCACGCTGCCCTCAGACAAGCTCAGCAAGATCCAGACGCTTAAGCTGGCTGCCCGCTACATCGACTTCCTCTACCAGGTCCTGCAGAGTGACGAGCTCGACCACAAGATCTCCAGCTGCAACTACCTGGCCCATGAGAGGCTCAGCTATGCTTTCTCTGTCTGGAGGATGGAAGGGGCCTGGTCCATGTCGGCATCCCACTGAGATCTGGCTGGTTGGAAGGTAAGTCGTGCCCAAGCTCTTTTCTTATCCCTCTGGCCATGCTTTTTCTTGCCTAGGCTTCAGAGACACCAACTCCAGGTGGGAGCAGGGAAAAGATGTGGTACCAATATATTCTCAGTGGGACAATATGATGCATTCCAGAGGGAGCTCCGCAACATGCAGACTGCCGAATGTTTGCTCACAGATGTTCCCTCTGCCCGATCTTTGGGAATTCCTGCCGGACAACCGCCACCATGCCATTCAGTGGAAACCCCTGACTTACTGCAGAGTACTTTTAGGGGGCTGCCATAGGAAGGAGAGGGCAGGGAAGTCCACTTCCGAGAGCATGGCTGATCTGGCATAAATCTGAATCCAACCCATAAAAATAAGATGGATAAGTAAATAAACAAAAAGAGTGATCAGGGGCATGTACAGAATGCCTTTCCGGTTTCAGTGAGTGGCTACAAAGGACTGAGGAATTAGGAATTAGGGATTCCAGGTCAGAAAACAAGGTCTTTAGGATGGTTTGAGATTGGTAGTGTTAGATTTCCAAAGACTGATATTTTGTTGGCACGGTTGAAGAGAAGGCATTGAAAGTGGCATGCTCACCTTAACACGGTTGGAGTGTGACAGACTCGAGTTTTGTTTGTCCTTCTGTCAGCTCTGGTCCAAACCTGGCCAGCAGGGCAAGGAAGCAGTTTCAACAAACATCACTCTGGTAGCACCTTCTCCCATGTGACAGAGAGAGAGAAGGAGAGGGAGAAGGAGAACCTGCTGTCATTTTTCTTTGGTCTAAAATTGTTTATTAAGACTTTTGGAGTACATACAAAAAGCAGTTGTATGTAGATGTCTTTTGCAGCTAAACCCAATGGAATTCAGTGGAATTTGCAAGGAAACAGTGAACTTGGATTGTCAGCTTCATTTTAATTTTAAATAGGTGCATGTTTAATTTTCTGTTGTGGAAGAATGTTTTCTTTCTTTCTGTTTCTTTTTTCCTTTTTTTGGCCACCCTATCTGGCAGCAAGCCATGTCTTTTCATGTGTTTACTTCAACTCTTTGTCATGAGAATGCAATGAATATTCAAGCTGTCCACATGCAAAAGTAATATAATTTGCATATATATTTTATATGCAAATATAAATTTGCATATGATTTATATAGCATTCATATAATTTATATAGCATTCATGAGCAGGCCAAGGGAATTTTCAGTCATGAAACACTTCTCCATCAGCTTCTTCCACACTAAATGGCATTTATGAGACACAAAACACATGGCAGAGGTTCAAAATCACTTCATGAACAAACATCCACAAAGACATCCCAATAGATATAGACAGTAAGACAGACATACACACACATGTACATTTGCAGCCCATTAAGAACTCCTATAAGAGCTCTGTCCCCATTATGGCCATTTTACAGATGCTGAACTGAGGATGATAAAACAGTAGGTTTGTAAAGAACTCCCACCAGCTGGGCCAAAATTCTTACAGTTCCTTGGGACCCCAGTTCATGTGCACTGAACAATGCAGGCACACGGAGATCAGAAAATGGATGGTTCATTCTTCCCTGAGAAAGCAACCAGGTTTTTGGCATTATGTAAACACACCCAGCTATCAATTACTGATTCCATATGTGTCATCACAGAGACAGATTAAATAGTATACATACCACCTATAAACATGCATGATTTTAGGTATGGGTGCAACAGACAGCTATGATTTTCTGCGCCTGATGCAATGCCAGCAGCCCAAGGCATTTTGCTGCCTGAAACAGACTCCAGATGGCAACTAGGGCCCATGCCATGAAATGACTTGCTGTACCACTTGGACTGCAATTCCCATCTTCCTCTATTGCTTTGCTGGGAGGACCATGATTTCCACATGCAGGGCTCTGAAAGCAAGGACCATCCTGCGGGAGGGCCATCCCAAATGGCACCCACATCTTCTCACTCAGAACAACCTGATTCACCTCATTGCCTTGCACTGCTAGCTTTGCCCTGACACATTTGCCGCTGTGGCTAAGCGTCCATACGAGGCAGCAAGCTGGAGATCATTGTCAGAAACACATAGAAACATTTCCAGGCAATATACAACCAATCCAGCTGTTCACAGGGGTGAATCAAATCTGCATGGTCCATTTAGAGAAAGGCGCCTGTGGTTCTGAATGTGAACAGGATATACAATCCAGTCTCACTCCAATAATGAGACACGTGCACCAAATGAATACTGATTTGGATCCACACGGCAAAAGCATCATGTTTGCTGTGTGCAAGGAGGTTTCGAAGACTTTCACAGGAGGGGGAATTCCACTCGATGTGGCCTCTCTTGCCCCCAAACAATAAAGGAATATTCCACACCTGATGGAATTTCTCTTTTCTATGCATGGTCTAGAACCCCCTGGAGATTCTGGCCTGGGCTGCTGCTATGCAACTGAAAGATGTTCAGAAAGGTATCGCTGTTTATTTGTATTAAGCTGATATTCAAAATGTTCATTCTTGACGAAGCGGTAATAATATTTTCTTGTTCTCGCCAAAGGCCTTGACTAATATTGCAACAGCTCCATGCAGCGGCATAAGATTTAAAATATAAAAATCAATAAATAAAAACCATGCTGCTTAGCAGGAATAAGGAACAAATGTTAATTCAGATTAAATAGATGTATCCCCAGAGCAGGTTCGGTTCATCTTGTCCCCGCTTAAGGAAGTGCATGGAACAGAATACAGGGATGGTGGGTCTTACTCCTGAAAGAATTTGCTTAATTCAGACAGAATTCACCAAAGGGAACATGGGAAGGCTCTTGGGTCACAGGGCTGCCTGTGCATGCTAGAATTAACTTTCTGACCAGTCTGTCAGGCCTGGGGATGAAATTGGGAGAAAACAGGGCAATCAGGCAGCAGGGTGGGGAGGGGAAGCGACTGCTTCCTGGGATTGCTTCAGGCACAGCCCTGCCCGGAAATGGGGGAGATTTTTCAGACCTTTCCTGATCTCTGACCCCATGGCAATTCTCACCAGTGGAACAAAATCATGCAAAGTGTCTCCTTATGCACCAATATCAGTTCTGCTCATTTCCATATGCTGGAAGATTTTCCCACTGCTCCAGGAGGAAGGGAAAATACAGAGCTTCAGGATATTAGACCACAGGTAGGTAGGTCAGAAACTCAGCACTCCTTAGCTGAGCTCTTTTCCCCTGGCAAGATCTGGTGTAAACCTGTGACTGATGGGCTGTGCAGAAGTTAGTCACCTCCCTAGATTTTGCAGATGGACTCACTTACTTGCACCTTTCCATACTTTGAAAAGGATATCTGACATCGCGAAGTCCCAGTAGTTTCTCGTATGTGTCAGAAAGTTCAGTCCCTGGTTTGACATGATAGACTCCCAGAGAAATCAACAGGTCTCCAAAAGGAACACAATTTGGGAGGTTCCTGCTTAGCATGCAAGTTATAGTCTGTACTGCAGCTTGGATCCATGTGCTGAAATTAATTCTTGAGCAAGGGTTGACCTGATCAAGACTGGGCTATTAGTATGCACATTCTTTCTTACTCTCTCCCTTAATGGGCAAAGAGACAGAAGTGGGAGCCTCATATGTACAACATTCACAAACGCACAAACACACTCATACATAAAACACCCTCATCAGACCCCCCAGCTAAGAAAATGTGCCAGTGAGACTTCTGATGCCAAAGGTCCTTTCTGTTACTGTAATTCTGGGATAAAGGAATGTGGTGGATCAAGTCCCTGCCCCATTGAAATGAATGGGAGCAGTCCTAGATTATCAGGATCCATTTATCCAAGGGCACCACAACAAAGCTTCCCCAGCTGACCTTACGCACCCGAAGGACTTAGTTCCTGGTAGAGCCCCTGCTCTGCATACAGAATGGCCCCGATTCAATCCCTGCCATCTCCACATAGAGTTCGCAGAGAATAATATCTGAAACCCCAGAGAACCCCTGCTAGCTCCTGCCAGCAATACAAGACCAAGGTGTGGCTCAGCACAAGGACACTTCTGCTCCTGAAAATTCTGTGCCATCCGTTTGGCCAGCTGCCGTTCCCATCGACTTCAGTGCTGCTTGTGGAAGAGATCTCCCCAACAGACTGAGTTTTAGGATGCACTGGTGGATTTGTGCATGCCCAGCAGGCATCCACATTTGAGCCACTCTGTGGCATCCTCGTGGTGCCAGGGGCTTACTCCACTGCCCTTGGAATGCAGCTGTTATCCTGAACCAGGGTGGATGCTTGGCTGTCCATTTTTATTCCAGCCAGTCCAACGGCTAAGGAAGTGCTCAAGAAACAAAACCCTAAATTGATCACCATAAAAATGGCAAATGCTGCATAGAGTTACATAAATTCAAAACCATCAAATTCTCCTGGATGCCCTCAAAATGTGAGTCCAGACAAGAATTTTGCACATCGTCTCCAGATGGCAAAACTTCCATTCTGATGAATGCAGGTCGATCTTGAACAGAAAAGCCAATGCCCTGCAATGTGGAATTTAGGAAGTATCCTTCTGTAGAGTCAGCCCACTGGTCCACCACACTCAGTTTTGTTTACACTGGCTGGCAGTGGCTCTGCGGGGTTGCAGGCATGATGCTCTCCTAGTCTTACTTGGAGAAACCAAAGACCAAGCCTACATTCCTCCACACGAGGACTGACCATCCTCTACCATGGAGCAATAGCCCTTCCCTATGATAGCCCCGAAATGAAGGTGCTTCTAGATGGAGGGCTCCTGGTGCTACCATTTGGAATGGATTGTAGATCCCATCCATCTTTTCCCCCCTTAACAGGCTTTCTGCATTAGATAGAAAAAGTGGTGGGAAAGCATGGAAAGATTAAAAACAAGTGCTGATAACATCTAGAACTCCTCCAAAATTCCATGAATAACCAAGATATATCAGTACTATTTTTATACCGCAAAATAGCCTAAAATCTAAGTGATTTGTAATACTGTATAAAAACAAGAAAAAATAGTGTAAGAACAGTGAAAACAATGTTGTGGCTGCAA